GGGGTCGGTGGTGGTGGTGGGCTTCTCATTCTCTCACTTTTCTTGTCAAATGTCTTGTCTTCTCCATTTCCACACTCTAATATATATGCAACCTCTCATTTGTTTTATTATTTGCTTTTCTTTTGCTTAAGTTGCTCACTAAGTAAAAAATTTTGGAGCAATGAGAATTATATTTGATATTTCCCTTGGTTGACTTGTTACATCTAAACCCAAGTCTTGCTTCTCTTTGTTTTGATGTCCACAATCTCAAAAAGAGAAAACAACTGATTGGTCACTTTCACACAGACTCTCTATCTCTATCTCTAATACGTTATCCTTTGATTTTTCAACATCATACTCAAATCTCAATAATACCAAATTCCAGAAGAAGACTAAAAGATAAACCATCATATGATTATGACCAACGAGCCTGGATTCGAACTCACGACCAATCATGTAAATTAGCAAGAAAAATCTCACAGCCAACACAAATGATGTATAGGACCATGCCTTGTCCCATTTTGTTCCCTTCTCTATTACCTACAAAAACACTCTTCTTCACAAAAAGTTAAAAAGACTAATAATATATAAAGGAAGCACGAGATAAACCTTGGAATAAACGAGAGCCTAACATTTACCAAAAAATCAAAAGAGAGAGAGAGAGGTTTTGAGATGAGAGGGCATGAGCCACGATCAAGCTCATCTTGTGCAGCCTGCAAGCTCTTGAAGAGACGATGCACACCCACTTGCATTTTCGCTCCTTATTTCCGCTCAAGTGACCCGATAACCTTCGCCAAAGTACATAAAGTCTTTGGCGCCAGCAACGTCAGTAAGCTTCTCACTGAGGTTCCTGAAGAACAGAGACAAGAAACTGTTAACTCGTTGGCTTATGAAGCCGAGGTTCGTCTCAAGGACCCTGTTTACGGTTGCATTGGAGCCATAGCTTCTCTGCAGAAGAAGATGCTCGAGCTTCAACATGATCTAACCGTTGCTCGCACTCGACTACATGCCCATTCTGGAGTCAACAACCATGTGGATGAATCTTCTGAGCTCGCTGCTTTTCTCGATCTTGTACCTTATAGTGACTTGATGTTGCTTGATGGATCTAGTCTTGATGCCTACTTGTATGATCTTGGACAGCCACCTTTTGTATAGGCCTTATCTCTCTTATCATATCTCTTTATCCGACTGTATTTGCACTTTGCTTACAAATCAATGTATGAATTGAATATGCAAAATCAGATGTTACTTCATAATTTGTATAAAAACTCGGCTTAACTTCAAAAGTAACCATGAAATGCAATGAGAAAACTCAGGTACATGATGAGCCATGAAAGGTCAGAGCCCTTACCAGTTTTGGACAAAGCGGTAGGCCATGACTAGTAAAGTGAGTTTTTTTTTAAGACCCAGAGCTTCTCTGTAAGTCAGGCCTGAGTAGGAGGGCACATGCTTATGTCAACCCCCAATTCTACCTAACATGAAACATAGATAGATATGGCTCTGTGATTTTCCTTTTGAGGCTTCAATAATACAGCCTCACGTGTCACCTCGACTCCATCAACTCACAAGAGTCTTGTCCTGGAGATTCCAGAGTGTGCAAAGTCACATAAGCAAACAGCCAAATCAATAGCTTGTTGGGTTTGATCAGTTCCAAAAGTGAATTATGGAAGAACATGATTGACTCCTTATGTTGTCCTTGAGTACATCGAATTCGAAAAGAACCCAAGTCTGTGTAGGCATTCCTGAAACCTGATTAAGCAAAGGACGAATTGCAGATCCACAATAAGAGAAATCAGCGCTCTTCATTGATACACAAACCATCATCATACATTAATACTTCACAAAAGTACATCTTGATATGTCAAATACTACGAGACTTTTTTCCGTAATCTGCATTGCTACCAATGTACTCTACAAAGCTAG